AATCAGAATGTTGTTTATTAATCACTGGAATGACTGAACCAAAATCAAAAATTATTGTGGAGTTATTAATACAAGATTAGGAAACAGTTCATTATGACACATTGAAATGTAGAACAGGATCCTTAATTATTGCAAACTCAATTATGAGTGTGAATGACTTGTTTGACATGACATATATGTGATATTTGAGATTTATTTTATATATATTTTATAGTTTGGGTTAAATAAATAAGACATTGTGTGAGTTGTTGGAAGTTAAAATGTGTACGAAGTCAATGATTTCGGCTGATGGTGATGCCTCTGCCTCCAGCTCATGTTTGAAGGTTTCCAAGTTCTACTAAGAAAATGAAGTAGCATTTATTTGGTATATGCTACTAAGAATATACTACCTCTTATTCTTTTGGATTTGGATCCAAACTAATTTATCCACTCTAATTATCAAAAATTATGTTTGATAATTTAATTTAATCAGATATAAGTAATTTGGACTATGGATTAATCTAAGTGAATATTTGACTTTCATTCCTATTGAGTTATATTTTCTTAAGATATATTTTTATATGAATGAAATAAATGCTGAATCTTGATTAAAAATATTACGTATGTAACTTAGTAATTATTTTAATAATTAACCATGACTTTATTTAACTTATTATTAAATTTTAACAAAAAATATCATATAAAAATAAAATTAAAAATATAGATATTAAAACATCATTTTCAAAGTAAATCTTATATCAAAACATTAATAACCTTTTATTCAAATTTAAAAATTATTATATATTTTATCCAAGTTTGTTTATCTAATATTATCCACTTCTAAATAAACCTACAGTTTGTCTAATTTTTTTCTCATATTTCTTTGAATGCAGTCAGGTAAGGCCTTTTTTCAGGTGTGTTCTTAATATAAATCACATATATTAATAATACTAATTAATTCAGTTGATTTTATTTGTTATGTAAAATGATATTGTCGATATACTAAAATACACTGATTATTAATAATTTTAATTTTTTTGAAATTGTCTATTATTAAAAAAACATACACATAATGTTTAATAAAAAGTAATGATATAAGATTGTATTGAAACTATAAACAGTTTTATAGAAAAGACTATCAAACTCTTTCAAAAAAAGACACGAAGGAGTGTAATATAAAAATTAGTAAAATATAAACCCGTCTATAAGTATTAATTTTAATCTTTATTTTTATTTTTCTACCTTTTTGGGGTTTAGTATTTTCGTACATTAAGTTTAGAAGATATGTCATTAGAAAAGTTTATTTGATCTCTTTTAACTTAACCACTAAATAGGTTTACAGAGTTAGTTTACAGAGTAATTTTCTTTTTGATATTTTATGTTTTTAAATTGGTAAATTTTACGAAATCGTAAAAACGATTGTCAAATATTTCATATCAATAAAAGAACGAGAAATCAAGTAAATAATTTAAAAGAACAAGAGAAAAATAAACTAAATGAATAGTTATCAAATGCTAATCTCAATTCAGTTAAAGAGAACTATTTATACATACAGTTTATAGTCACGAACAATTAAAAAGAAAATTTTGAAAATTTTGTTATTTTCCTTTATTGGACACTCTAATACATACTATCTACTCTTAAAATTGTTGGTAGATGACTATTCAATTAGTGAGTTGAGATATTTTATTATTGTCTTATAGTCTTAGTTTAAGTCTTTTCTATTTTATAAAATAGTCTCTTATTATTAAAGTTTATTTAGAAAGTTTAAGAAATTAAATTTGTAATTTGCACTTTTTATTTGAACGTGTGATCTTATTGAAATTTTTATGTAAATTATTGTATTTAATTCTTGAGAGGTTATCAACATCTAATTAATAGATATATAATTATTTAACAAATTGTTTTAAGAAGTCAATTTTAAATTTAATTTAACTACAAAGTCGACTTGTATAGTGAGGTTTGTATCCACTTTTGTACGTTAAACTCATCTTATCTTTAATCGATGTGAGATCTCTAACACACCCCTCATATCGAGACATATACATCTCGAACATAGAACTATAGAGATTAATAGGTAGTCTAATATGGCCTCATACATAATGAGTTCAACCAATAACAAATCTTTCAATATTGAGAGTTTATACACCTTTGATCTAAGAGGAAGGTTATTAGAGGGACCTCATAGGTTGCTCTAGTCTCGATCTTAAGATGAGTAGTATGGTAAAAAATGGTCAACATAATTTTACTCAACATCAAAGATTATTACAAGGGTGGAGATACCTCTATATATAGGCAATGTTGCCTCCTAAAAACCCTAAAAGCACGATCTCCTACCTTTGCATTCATTGGCAAAAAATGAGGCCTTCTAAGGAGTGGACAAGTGTTCACAAATCCTCTCCAATAAGGGGAGGACATGTGACCACTCACAAAACACAATCCTCTTCATTTCTAGAATGTCATGTAACCACTACAAAAAAAATCCTCTCTAATGAAAGTATGACACTACTTGGCCGAAATACATGACCTAAAGAAACCTATGCTATTTGGTCGAATATATGATCTAAATAAACATACATTACTCTTCAACTTTCATGATGGCCAGAGAAAAAGTTTTGTTTCACTTTACAAAGATGACTCTAACTTCTTCTTGAAAGTATATGAGTTGTTGCTAGGGATATTCCATCAATATGTGATATTAAAGGCATTAGAGTATAGATTAATTATAAAGTGATACATTTCTCCATGGTATTATGATTGTATTATGATTATGACGATGCGCAAAGAAAGTGTGCATAAATATTCTCTTAACATGGCTTTATATATTACACTATATTGTAGTTTTAAAAGTGGAAAATAATAAAGTAAGGAAGAAAAAGAGTAGTAGCTAATAAATTGTAGAGCTTCATAATCATTTTAGTTTCCTCTTCAATGGACAAAACTTCCCTTTACATAAAGACAGCTATGCATGCATGGCTTCTCTGCTCTTCTTTCATTCTTTTCCTAACAGACATTTTTCTTTTTCTTTTCGCTTAAAACTGCATAACCCCATCAACATGCATGCATGGATATCTATACTTTCCTTTTACCTTTACCTGCAAATTATCATAAGCTTCAATCACTTATTACAGCATGCTATTAGTTTTTCGAGTTTAGCGTCGCTATATATTAACGTAGTTTATACGATTAAACTGTCTCATTCATCTTTTCTCTCTCATTGTTCACCTAGCTAAACAATTCGACATACATCTGATAGGGTTAAATATATTTTACTTCTAACAATTGTAATCGTTTTCTCTTTTTTCTTTAGAAAAAAAAAATGAGAATTAACCATAAAAAAATGAGAATTAACCATAAAAAAATGAGAATTAACCATAAAGAAATATGTGATTATAAGAACATTAAATATATTTAAACCTATAGGCTTGAAATATTTATTTAATTGTAAGTTAGGTGAAAAAAATATGATATTCCTAACTAAAGTTTATTAATAGTTTACATTACTTTGTTGTATAATCTCTAAAGTACAACAACATCAAAGCTAATCTTATATATGTATTAGGAGCAGACACTTGGTTGGTGATTTCCAAATTCCAATTAGCATTTTGCACTTATGTGTTCTACTTTTTCTAACTTTAATTTATTTTAAGGCCGGCCACCCTGTGGTCTGCTTTTTCAGACGAGGAATGGTCCTATAATACAATGCCATCACAAGTTTATCACTGTTTAATACTCAGAACAAGCATTTTTCAATTTTATTTTTTACTTGCTTGAACTGGATTATACCAGTTAGCTCTATGCAATAGCAACATTTTTGTCTAAGTAGAATTTTGAGAAACAGGGTACATAAAATTAATCATTTAGAAAAAAAGACAATGTAAATAAAATAGAGATTGGAAATGATTTAGTGAAGAAGAATAAAAGAAAATAAGTAGGAAAATCACCTTCATTAGTTCAAATAAATCAGAAATAATATAATTAAGGTTTAAATTTCTTTAAAATAATTGTAGTTTCTTAATTTTTTTAGTCTTAAGTCTCAGTTTTTTAAAAATTGATGTAATTTAGTCTTTTTCATTATTAATGTACCAACAATATTAAACAAAATGTGTTGTGTCAATTGATTATTTTTTAATTTTGATTTCATTTAAAAAAAATTCTATCTTAGTCATATGTCTTATATTTAATTTTATTCATGTATTAATTATTTTGATTAATTCAATTCATTTTCTTTTAAGTTGAAATATTTTTGTTCATTTCCAAACTCATACCAAATTTAATTTTTATATAAATGTTATATTGATATTTTTTATTACAATTTATTTTTTTATTAAATATTTTTGAAATTATTTTTAAACAAAATTTATATAAAAAATATTAAATGTTATTCTGATAGATTTTTTTTTTATAAATTTATATTCAATTATTTAAAATATAAATTGAAATAAAAATAATATTAGAGTATAATATAATAAAATATCAATAGGATAAATCACGTTAAAATTAAACGAAAATAGATGTAGCATTTGGTTTTGTGTTTATTCGAAAACCCGCCACATAATTAGGCTTTGTGATTCCAATTTCAGGTGTTGATGATTGAAACGGACACACATACACTCAAGTTCGGTATCTGGCCCTTCACTTCTACTTTTGTTTCACTGTGGGTGCCCATTTCAACCACACGCTTTACACTGTACGACACCGTTTCCATCACTCCCAACCCTAATCATTCTTATCGCACCAAAAGCTTCCACCTTTTCTTATATCATGCTTCTATTCTTTCCATGTCCATGCTTTACCTTCTTTCTTTTCGCTTACCATCTTCCGTCATATACCATTCTCAGTTTATATCTTTCACCGTCAATGCAACCAACACTGTCCCATCATATTCAATATCTTCTTCGCAAAGCTCGATACTCTTAACTTTTTTTGTAATTTTTTAAAACTTAATAATAAAAACAAATTTATTTTATTTTTGTTCATTGGAATTATTTAAGAGTGAGGAATCAGATAAGTGAGTAAGGTATGATACATGTTGGTGAGAATGGTAAAATTATTTTGGTACAAATTTGAGTGCTTTTGCGGAAAAGAAGAGAACAATAAGAAAATGGAGCAAAGAAAATCTAATTGAATTGATTAGGAACGTGTGAAAGGCCCCATTGCTTTAGAAATGTGATGCATACCAGGGTTAAAGCCCAAGCAGCCCAATAAACCCTGCTTGTAAGGCAAAAACGTTTTCTTCTTCATTTCCTCGGATGCGGCCCGGTTCACCGTGTAATGCAACTCATGGGCTGAAACTGGGCCGCGGCGTTTGGAGACCGAACCGGAGCTCTCGGCGGACCGAAAGCTGGAGTTTCGAACATCCTCGTTTTTGGAGAGAATAACGTACTTTTTGAGCGGGTTCTTGTTGGTGGTTCTTCCCTCCGAAGCACTTCGAAAGAGGAGAAAATCTCTGAACTTCCATTTTCTGGTGAAAGAAATAGAAGCTAGAAAAGGAGATTTGGAGTTGCTTGTGAAGGAAGAAATGTTTTCGGAGTCGCACACTATGTCGGATATTCTTAAAGGAGACAAAGATCTACTACTTCCTTTCCGACCAGACACCAAAACTCTTTGCCTCCCTCGCGCGTGATTCTTCTCTTCTTCTTTTTCTTCTTCTTTACTGCCTCTGCGCGTTTCTTTTGTGGCCTCTGCGAGCCGGTCGAAGTCCTTCTTCCTGCGGGGAGACGTCACAGGAGAAGGGGAGCGAAGGGGCGGCGTCGGCGTCGGCGGCTTGAGGGGACGGATCTTTCCGGCGAGGAAGAGCTCGTCCGCGGAGAGAAAAGGTCTGTCGAGGTGTCCGCTGGAATTGAACTCGAAATCATCGTGGTTGTGGTTGGCATTGGGTTGGGGTTGTTGTTCCTGGAGAAAGGGGACAGAGGAAGAGGAAGAGGGAGAGTCGTGGAAAAAGAAAGGAGTAGGACGCGTGGGGCTGGTGGGAGCGCTGAAGAAGAAGTTGGAGTTACTAGCAAAGCGTTGAGGGCTGGAAGGGGCGGTGATAAATGGGGAGGAGCAGTTGCTGTCGAAGTTGAAGTCCACCGGAACCACCATTTCCACTTCCATTTTTTCTTTATTTTTCTCGTAATGTGAAACCGATCCACGAGTGTGGAAAATCAGTGTCTTTTCTGATGGGATCACTGAATTTATAGCGAAAGAAAGGTACAGAATTGTGACTTTGAGTAGGAAGGAGAGAGGAAGGAGTGGGAAAGATTGACTTTGTGAAAAACAGTGAGGGTCATTTGAAAGAAGCCGCCTTTGGTTTGCATATGCAAGAGTACCTACTGTTTTTTCTTACATTTATTATTGTTTTTCCGAGTTTTACATTCTCCATTACAACCTGGCCCACTCGACTACGTCGTTTTTGAGGGGTTCAGTCAATGACAAGAGAATTTGCAGCATTGTGAACTTTTGGGTTATTTTCATCGTGGAGGTCTGAATCTCCAGTGTTGCTTCGTATTTTTTACTGCTTTAATTGTTTTGATAGGGAGATGATAATAACGTTTTGTTCTTCGTTTGCAGCACCTTCAAGAAATATTTTACCATTGTTTTCTTTACCATTCTTATACACTCCTTTCCCTTTCTCTTTGTTTTCCTAAATTTCATTAAATTTAAACCAATAAAAGACTTGAGTGTTAATAAGATCCTATCGTATGTATAAAAATGTTCCCAACAAACTTCTTATCCACAATGTTCTAAAAGACATGATAACCATATTTTGTTTGTATTAATAGCTGAATTACAAGAATCATTATGAACTTATTTAATGCAATATATTATGTTAAATTGGGAAACATAAAAGACATTGGTGTGAAAAATAGTGTTGTTACAAATGAATAGTATGAGAACGAGAGATTGATAAAATATGAGGCAATCTCAGTAAAGTGGTGTTAGTCATGCCATTCATTTGGGCTTCAAATTTATTAGATTTATGACTCGGTTTATTGAAAAGGAAAAAATACTTATTATGTTGGTAGTACGACATCGTATTCAGTTATAAGACAACATCTTTTTTTCCTTAAGGAAAATACAAGTTTAGAATATATAAAAATAAAGTGTGCATAAGTTCTTATGAAAAAAAAATTACTTATTAATCTAGATCAATATCTATAAACTTAAATTTGAATACTTTTTGATTTTACAAAATTAAGTTTAATTTAAACTGAAATAATTTTATTTGAAAATTCCAATTAATACTCTATCCAACAATTTATCATGCGTGCTCATGGGATTGCTTCTCTGTGGTCGTTTGACCTTTAGTCTCTTTCTTTTCACTCAAGTGGGCACCATACAAAGCCAAAGGTTTTAGACAATGAAAAAAAAATCCAAATTTAAAAAAACTACCGTTAGAAGTAAAGAAGTGCAAAGTTGACAAATTAAAAAAAAGAAAAAGAAAAAGGAAGAAGCAAGATGAAGACAGAGATAGTGGCTTTGGCTTCTCTATCTGAATCTGTTGATATGATAGAAGTTAGATTACCGTTTTGGCTCTGTTTCTTGCGCTTTTTGTTACTTTAATTTTGGTAAAATAATAAAGATTCAAATATGGTTTTTTTTTTATAAAATGAATTTTAGGTAGCTTTTGAGTTAAATATATGGAGATTCCTTTTTGTTCTTACTTTTTTGAAAATCACATATTATATCTTTCCATCATTATATGATATTAATTAATTACTTATGCATTGAATTAAAATTATTAAATAATAATTTCAAATAATATATATTAGTTGTGATATAATATTAGTATATGTTATTTGAAGTATATTTTAAATTCGTAAAATAAATATTATTTATCTACTTTAAAATAAACATTAGAAATTAAAAATAATTATTTAAAATATTAAAGATATGAAATTTAAAAATAGTAGTTTATAGAATTTAAAATATAAATTCATATATTCTATACAGATTAAAAAGAATAATTTCAAATTTTATGAATTAAAGAATACAAGAATATAAATCAAAACTTACTAAACTTTAAATGAATTAGGAACTGAAGTTAGCAAATACTAAATGTTAGCTACATTTTAAAGTTATCTGATATAGCTCCGAAGATTGGTCTTGGGAAGCTTTATTCATCAAAACGATTGTACTATGTAATTATTTTCAATATATAAATTTATATTTATTAATTTTAATTTAAAAATATAATTTAGGATAAAATAAAATCATATATATATATATATATATATATATGAAAGAAAGTAATCTATATTTATATATAAAAAAGTTCCTCTTCTTGATATTTATCTTTATTTTTTAATTTTACCATTTAAATAAAAGTTTTTTAAATTAAAATAATTATTTTACCAATTTTACTATTTAAAGGAAAATTTTTTAAATTTTGAATTTTTTTAATTGACTTGTTTTTAGTTTAACTATTTTTAATTAAAAATTACCTATAAAGTAAATAAAAATTATTTATAATAAAGTTATAAATTTATTTCTATTTAATTTTATTATTATAATAATAAAAACAATAAGTTAATTATTTTTTATTATCGTAAAAACGCATATATTCTCAGTGGTTTCACTATATAAAATAAGAAACAAAAGTTTTGATCATATAAATCGAAAAAGAAGCTATACATATTTGTAGTCGTCTTTTTTACTTTACGTTGCTGTCACTTGAACAAAATAAACACACTGTCGGCATTGTTATTCCATTGTGCTATCGTGTCAATGGTAAAAACCATTCATGGAACAGTTTATCTTATTGCGTATATCAATTCGCATTTAATATATTTTTTTATTGCGTCTTTAGGTAGACATACTTTTGATTATTTGGCTTAATTTAAATTGTCTTTTTTACTTAAAAAAATAACCATTGAATTTAGAAAATTCACAATTTTAGTTATTGTTTTATCAAATCAAATATTTTAATTTTAATTTTTTTTCTAAAGTTCGTTATTTATTTATAGATATTTCCCTGTGAGCATTTGCAAGCCCTCTTAATAAATCATTTAATACAAAATATCTAATTACTTATTAATAAAGAAATGAAAGATTTATAAATTAACTTTTACAAAATGTTTTTTTATAGTGATTCTATTGAGCTAAAACTATTGTCTTACTAATTGATATTAGACTATGTAGTGTGAGGATGTCAAAAATATTTAGAGTATAATTCAATGATCTCTTCGTGTATTTTGCTATGTTTTTCATAAGAATTAAAAAAATTAAATTCTATGATAGATAAGACAATTCAAGTAATAATGACTCCAAATATTTACTAAATTTACAGAGAAAGAAGATATTATTGCACAATAGATTAAAAAGCACTTATTGAGACGATATTTAATTTTGAAAACTCTATTAGATGGTCCAATTTATGTAAGTTGTCAGAGTGGTGCAGAAAAATATTAGCGTAAACAATAAATAAAGACTTGGTGAATTGTTTTCTTATCATAAATTATGTGTTTAATAATTTTATCTTTTAATTCAAATTTATTAACGATTAATTAAACAAATAAGAGAGTAAGGAAGAGAGAAATTTGCACATGTGATTTTATAATGGTTCATATCACAAGGATTCTAAGTCCAATTATTAATCTCAAATGAGAATTAACGATACATTATCACAAAACCAACAAATTGTTACAATCACAAAGAAAACAACAAGTTTATGGTTTAGAACACTTCTCTTGTTATCCCAAGAGATGAAACTCACTTCCCCCTGAAAGTTATAGAGGATGAACACCTCCTCTGAATATTTCACGAAGGATGAACACTTCCTTTGAATCTTCGCAAAGGATGATATAGGCTTCACTCAACAACAACAGCACTTAATCACATTCCTAATGAAAGCTCTCGCTCTATGCCAACACCAAGTTCTCAAAGCCAAAGTACAAGGGGCTACACAAACCCTAGAACACACTTAACACAACACACAAGCAACACATATAAGATTTCATATATCTTGTATTTTAGAATAAGAGTCTCAATCCAATATATAGAGATTTTACTCAAGGATACCTCCAAAAAATTTGTTGTCAGCTATTTAACACATGATAATCGATTATCTAAACGAGGTAATCGATTATGGATTTGATGTATGCACAACGGTAAAAAACATGCTTAAAAATTTTCATAGTTATACATGATAATCAATTATGGTAAGTCATAATCGATTAGGGATAATCGATTATCATAAGTTGACCATTGATTATTCCAGAGGCAAAATGAATTTTTAGAAAACATTTAAAACCTCTATGTGATAATCGATTATCTTAAGTGTTAATCGATTATTGGAGAGTTTTTCTGACTCCAAAACGAATTTTAAAGCATACAATACACGTAATCAAGGATAAATAACACCTTATACATAAAAGTACTAAATTAAAAAAGTTTTAACATAAAACAAGTTTTCATGAAGGTCTTCTTGCAACTTGAGCACTTGAGACTTGCTTTGTAATAAAGCCTTTTGTAACCTGTACAAATCTATAATTCATATATAACTTAAACAAAAGGGATTAGTAGACAAGAGATAAATAAAATTAAGCTTTTAAACATAGTAATTCATACATAACTTAAAGAAAAGGGATTAGAAGACAAGAGATAAATAAAATTGAGCCTTTAAACAAATTTCTTTCCTTTTTTTATCATTATTAAAAAGAGCTATGTATGATTAAATAATTTGTCCCCTTAATATAAAAACTCCCCTGAATATAAGCCATAAATAAATAGTGAAAATTTTTCATTAATAAAAAAAACATAAGACAGGAAGAGAAAATGTAAATGAAATGCATGGAAATCTAGAAGGTATCACCACTATCATTATCGACAACAGGATTAACTAGTTCCTCTAACACATGGACCCTACCATCTAGATCCCTAAGGAGAGCACAAACTTCTTCATGCCTTGAAGCCTAAAGAATAGACATGTCGAACAACTGCCTAGAGATACTTTCTAAAGAGTGAGAGAAGCTGGAGCAGAAGGTCCCGCTTCATTTGGGATGTCATCCATTTGCTGGTCTTCATCTTCTTCAGATAGGTTTCCCACATCATCACAATAGATGTAGGTATTTCCTTGTAAGACGAAGCTCATTTGGGGAAGGGAAGAAGTCCCTATTTGACTTCCATTGTGAGTACTCTGAAATGCTTCTCCTGAGACATCTACCCTTTTCTATTCATAGATTCTAGATACCAATAAAGCATTGTGGAAACCTCTTGGCCTTCATCATCGTGTCACAGATGAGGATGGGCCAATG